CTATCAAGAAAACAATAATGTGAATACCTTGCCAACTGCTCTAGCATTTGATCTATGAAAGGAAGAGGGAATTGATCCTTTCTAGTTGCAGTATTTAGCTTGCGGTAGTCAATACACACTCGCCAACCAGTCACCGGTCTAGTGGGTATGAGTTCGTTGTCCTTATTTTCCACTACTGTTATGCCTCCTTTCTTAAGTACAACTTGAACAGGACTTACCCATGGACTATTAGAAATGTGATAGATAATGTTTGCATCAAGTAATTTAACAACTTTCGCTCTCACCACTTCCTTCATATTCGGATTTAACCGCCTTTGATGCTCGACTGATGGCTTAAAGTCATTCTCCATCAGTATTTTGTGCATACAAAATGACGGACTGATTCCCCGAATATCATTTATCGCCCATCCAATTGCTTCCTTATGTTCTCGCAAGACTCGAAGTAGCTTCTCTACTTCTAGATCGGTTAAGGAATTGGAGATGATCACTGGAAGTGTGGATGATTCTCCTAAATAGGCATACCTCAAATGAGGTGGAAGTGTTTTCAAATCAAGCGTAGGGGCTTTTTGATGAGATGGAAGAGGTATTGAAGATGTCTTTTCCAACTCCTCATAATATGGTACCCTCTTGAAGGTGCGGAAAGGTGTAGCTTCCAAGTACTTTGTCATACCTTCAACATCAGGGTCACCATCACTTATATCAGAAAAACTTACTAGGCATCTCTCAAGAGTGTCGTTAGAACGCCCATAAAGAGAGTCGGCAACCAAATGATCAATCATATCCACCCGAAAACAGTCATCTGGTTCCGACGGGTACTTTATGGATTTCAAGAGGTTAAAAGTGACTTGCTCATCTTGTACCCTTAAAATGAGTTTACCCTCCTGTACGTCAATCAAGGCTCGACCGGTAGCAAGAAATGGTCGTCCCAGAATGATAGGGATATCATTATCTTCTTCCATGTCAAGTATAATGAAATCAGCAGGGAAGATGAACTTATCCACTCTTACCAAGACATCCTCAACCACACCTCGAGGATATTTAATTGACCGATCGGCCAATTGCAACGATACCGTAGTAGCCTTTGCTTCTCCCATTCCCAACTTTTCAAAGATAGACAAGGGCATTAAGTTAATGCTCGCTCCGAGATCACACAAAGTTTTAGTAAAATTAAGATCCCCAATAGCACATGGAATAGTAAAGCTCCCTAGATCTTTGATTTTAGGAGGCAATTTTTCTGGAGAATGGCGCTACACTCTTCCGTCAACATCATCATTTCATGCTCTTCAAGTTTTCTTTTGTTAGAAAGGATATCTTTCATGAACTTTGCATAACTCGGCATTTGAGCTAGAGCATCTGCAAACAGAATGTTAATGTGTAGCTTTTTAAACACATCCAAAAACTTACCAAATTGAATATCCAATTTATGCTTTTGGAGTCTTTGAGGGAAAGGCATAGGAGGTGCATAGGCTTTGACTGGAATTGGAGCCTTTGATGTTAATGGCTCCTGTTCATCAATCTTACCTTCTTCAACAACCTCTTTAGGTACTTGCACCACCTCATTTTCAACGATTGGTTCTTTGTCAGCTCGAGCCTTTCGTTGTACTACCGTGGGTTCAGACAATTGAGTCCCACTCCTGGTAATAATGGCCTTTGCATTCTCTCTGGGATTTGTTTCAGTGTCACTGGGTAAAGCCCCTTGAGGCCTCTCAGAGAGAATTTTTGCAATTTGGCCCACTTGCCTTTCCAAATTTTTCAACGAGGCATCATTGCATTCTTGGTATTGCAATTGATGATTTGCTAACTTAGCAATGGCCTCTTCCCAACCTTCTTTCTTCTCTTGTGGTTTAGGATTTAACACATTCTGGTTATTCCCATAAGAGAAGTTAGGGTGATTACGCCATCCAGGGTTTTAAGTTTGAGCGTAAGGATTGTACCCAGGGCGTTGAAAATTTTGTGTATATGCCAATTGCTCGGTGGATCCCAAACTACTGGCAATCAACGGACAACTTGAACTCAAATGATTAGCTCCGTACATTTCACAGACCAGTGGGGATTGGACCATATGAGCTGAATGAGAGCCAGATGACGAAGTAGAAAGTCCTTCTACTTTTCGTGCTAGAAAGTCAATCTTTGATAACATAAGAGAGTATGCTTCACTCTCTCGAGCTCCACTAACTCCCACTTTAGCACATCTATCTGGCCACATGGCACTTTGTTCACTCATCACCTCAAATAGCTCATATGCCTCTCGGATACTTTTGTTTTGGATAGATTCGTTTGACGATGAGTTAACATTTGAGCAGTGAGAAGGAGTTAACTTGGCGTAGAAGTACTGGACTTGTTGTGCTAAAGTAATCCCATTGTTTGGGCACTTTCTTAGCATGCCCTTGAACCTCTCCCGAGCCTCGTGAAAGGTTTTAGAGTCAAGTTGTTGGAAAGTGGTTATATCGTGCTTTAACTTGGCCACACGAGCAAGTGGAAAAAATTTAGTATTGAATTTTTGTACCAACTCCACCCAACTTGTGATACTCCTCGAAGGTAGATTGTCAATCCACTCTCTTGCCTTATCTTTCAGAGTATGTACGAATAACCTCATTCTTATAACCTCATCATTCACACCTTCATATGTGAAATTGCTAACAATTTCCATGAATCTCGCGATGTGAGCGTGTGGGTTTTCATCTGTTCTACCATAGAATGATAAAGAATTGGGGAATAGATTAATGACATCCGATCGTAGTTGAAAGTTAGGATGTCCATATGACGGGTAAATGATACCCGCTTGGTTCTCAACGACAGGGCGGTTCAGAAAATCCCTAAACAACATATCTTCCTCATTGACTACAGGATTTTGAACCCTGCCCGCTTGATTATCAAAACTAGGCGGCACACCATCCCGAGGAGCTTGTTCATGTCGAATAAGAGGGTCCAGATGACCTTCTTGACGCTCCATGTCTCGTTGTTGTGTTTTCAACTCGTTTTGTTCTCTAAGCCTCTTTCGAAAAGTCCCTTCGATTTCAAGATCAAATTCTAGAAGATTGAGACTTCGTGAACGATGCATAAACAATGAACGAGTTAGGAATTTGACAAAAACAAAGACAAAGTAACTTTTGGATTTAAAGGGGGAAATTTAAAACAAAAAGTAAAGTCCGTTAAAGTGATTGACAAATTAACTAGTAATTTGACAAAAACACTCCCCGGCAACGGCGCCAAAAACTTGATCGGTATTAAATGGCACGCCGCAAGTGCACGGGTCGCGATCAAGTAGTATAATGGACCTTTTAAGTCCCAGTCGATCCCTCAGAGAGTGTTGTTTTCAATTACGAGTGTATTTGTTTCAAATTAACGAAAAAGATACACACATTTAAAAGTTCGATTTTAAAAACTATAAAAAGGCGAAAACTCGTTTTTGATTTAAAATATTTAAATAATACTTAAAAAGTGGAAAAGTTTGATTTTAAAAGATGTTGGAATTTATGATTTCGCTTAACCCTTTTCAAGCCAATTATGCGTCGATGCAAATTATCAAAATATGTGGTTAGACCCGATTTTCCAAAATTAGTCAATAACCTCTATCGAGCGATATCAACCCTAATTGCTTAGCATTAACATATTTCTCTGTCGTTCTAAACCAAACAACTGCATTCAATTTTTGTGAAAATAATTCAACGGGTCACATATGGTAGGTATACATGTCTAGATACCTAAACGCATATAGTCGAAATCATACAAACCTATGGTATTAATTATTTCGGTCTATTATGTGCAACAATTTTTCAATAATTACACAACTACCTAACCACAACATCTATTGACGTCAAATAAATGTAGTAATCTTAAACATGATAATTAATACACCAATATTTTGATAACAAATGCATATCTAACAACATATAACACGATATTAATGAAAATAGGTTAAGCCAATACATAAATTCCAACATAAACTTGTTTAGTTCATCATTCTAACAAAATAACAAAGAGATTCTCATAAACATATCATTACAAACATGAAGAACTAAATGAAAGGAATACAAAAGTTGAGATAAAACCCTTTTAAATACGAATTGTAATCCTTCAATGTATTCTTCAAGCTTTCCTTAATGATCTCCTTGCTATATCCACTTGATTCCCAAAATAAAACTAAAATTAACAAAAGAAAATAAAACTAAAAGAAAAAAACCAAGAAAGAGAGAGAGAGAGAGACCGAGAGAGATAGAGAGAAGAGTGAAATAGTTGGGAATTTTTTTTTCACCTACCAAGTTATATTAGTATATAAATGGAATATGTATAAAATATAATATAAAAAAAAATATTATTAGATACAACATAAATATCCTAAAAATATCTAGCATAAAATAAGGATAAAATAATAAAAAGGTTGACCAAAAATCTCAAAATTGCAGATCAGGTCCTTCAACTTTCATTTAGTGCAATTTGGTCCTCAAAATTTGACTTTTATTACATTTAGGCCCTTCCATAATTGCACTTCAAGTCCTCAGCTTCACAATTTTGTTCAATTTAAGTCCTTTTCCTTATCTTTTTGCTCGTTATACTTCTTTCCGGGGTTTTATCTTACAAAAATAACAATTACACAATTATAAATAGAAATCTACTCAATTTTATCAATAATAAAATTTCAAAAAGTGCTAAATAAGTGTGTAAAAACACACTTATCACTATTGCTTGTATATGTTAGAATAGAAACCTACTCATAGCTCAGTACGCTACTCAACGTATTTACCAAAGGCCACATGAAGGCTCCATTCAGGGTCGTAGAACTATCGACTGTGATCGAAATCCCTGATGTAAATCTCTTCAATGGCTACTTTGCTGAAAACCCACATTTCAATGAACATATGTTCCGTTGACAATTTTGAATGTCTTGATGTTTATTTGGTCGAACACTAACGTCGGTGGAAGGTCATGACAATTATTTTGTGCAGAAACGAGATGGGATAGGTAGACTCGAATTGCCTAGTCATCAAAAGGTAACGGCAATGTTTCGGATGTTGGCATACGACGTGTCAGTAGATGCTACTGATGAGTATATTAAAATAGGTGAATCTACCATCGTTGAAAGTTTGAAGAGATTTTGTCATGCCGTTGTCGAAATAATTGCTGAGCAATATCTAAGATCACCCACTGCGAATGACATTGAGAGACTATTCCATGTTAATAAACAACGTGATTTTCTCGAAATGTTGGGCAGTCTATATTGTATGCATTGGAAGTGGAAAAATTGTCCAACCGCATGGGCAGGACAATATACAGGTCGTAGTGGATCCCCAACTATTATCCTCGAAACTGTAGCTAATTATGATCTTTGGATATGGCATGCATATTTTGGACTTCCTGGTTCGAACAACGATATCAACGTTTTGGAGAGATCTCATCTTTTCGCAAACCTTGCTCAAGGTATTGTTCCTCCAGCTCAATACATCATTCAAGGAAGATAATATAACGTGGGTTACTATCTAACTGATAGTATATACCCAAAACGGTCTACCACTATGCAAACAATTCATGAGTTGCGTGGTCCTAAAAAAAATTATTTGTAATGAAACAAAAAGCGTTTAGAAAAGATGTTGAACGTGTATTTGGTGTTCTATAATCGAAGTTTGCAATAATGAAAGAACCCGCATGGTTTTGGGAAAAACAAGTATTACATGATATCATGACTACATGCATAATAATGCATAACATGATTATCGAGGAAGAACGCAATGTTGATGTACCACTTCAAGAATGGACGGAAGCGCCAAGTCCAAAAGTTGAGTTGGTTGGAGATGAAAATCGACATTTTCAAGAATTTCTTGTTCGTCATAGACAAATCAAGGATAAAGAAACTCACATTGCACTTCGAAATGTATCAATCGATCATTTGTGGGATGAACATATGAATTTCGAGAATTAAATTGCAAAAATTTTACGACTTCGTAATATCGTCTATCCAAATTCGAAATGCATTGTATTATTTTCTGATGGCATAATTTCATATTTTCATTGTTGAAGTCTTTTTATTAATTGTTCTATATTTTTTATATTTATTAATGAATTTAATATTTTTCGTAATTTAACGTAATTATTTATTTAGTAATTTATGTATTTATAAAATAATTAAATATATAATATTTCCAATAAATAAATTATAAAGAATAAAAAAAGGAAAGAAAATGGTTAAACACTGTTCAGTTAGTGTAACTTTTGGTGTAATGGTTGGAGATGAATTTTAGTTTGGTGCCAGATTTGGTGCAAAATGGAGCAAAATTTGGTGCAGGGCTGGAGATGGCCTAACTGCCTTAACTTTGAAAAATCCTTCTATAGCCATATTTGGAGGGTAGTCTTTTCAGATCAATGTGCAATTTTCAAGTTCAGTAATAGGGCCTTTGCTTATATGATTTGAATGATCTTAGTCTTTATTCCTTTTAATGTGCTAAGAGCTATGTTGGCCTGTCTAGTCTTCCCTTGCTCCTTGTGAGGTTGGTTCACCGAGGTAGAGGCATCTTGACTAGTTTTATTTCCATCATTCCTATAGCTAGAAAGTACCCCTTTAACGTGAGATTTTCCCTAATTGCAAGACTGTATAAGCAGTGTTTTCATCTACTAGATTGCCCATCAATTTGTTTGTTAGTTAAACTAAAGTATATAGATGAGGCGACCCATTATATTAAGTTTAGAAATATTTATCAAATATCTTATTTGCATCCTAGGCATGATTTGGTTTGGTTCGGTTTCAACTCCAACCCAAAACCAAATTGGTTGATGTAGGCAAATTTTAACCCAATCCAACCTATCTCTTAAAGGTTTGGTTCGGTTCGATTCGGTTAGTTGGTTTAGACTTTGAGTCCAAATTGAATTTTTTTCACAAAAAAATTGTGTAAGTTTTAGGCCCACTTAAATTACAATAACTAAAATAATCAAATAATTTACTATCCTAAGAACTATTGACTAACAAACAAAATCAGGTTAATAGAGACAGATTAATAAAAAACTAAAAAAATTTGTTGTTTTTTATGTATTATATAGTCTGACTGCCCGAGTAGGAAAAAATGTTAAGTATAATGTAATGAGCTTGTGAAAGGAAATTTTTAGTGCTATTACTTACTGGCAACATTATAGATTAGAGGGAATCGAGTAATAGTTATGAGATTAGGACTTATCTTTTGAATTTTTTATTTTTCTTAAATTAAAAAAAGGTAAACATGTAAGTAAGTTGAGTTGGTTCCATTAACCAGCTATTTGAGAATTCAAACTATGACTGAACTGATCCACCATGGTTTTGTTTAAAAGATAATCAAATCAAACCAATTACTAGTGTGAAACCGACCTAAGTCAATTTCGTTTAACTGGTTTAATCGATTTTTCAATTTTTTTGCCCAGGCTTGCATGGATTGCAAGTAAACAAGGAAAGGGCATTAGCGTTGCTGTAGAAGCAGTCGATACAATCGGATATATTTGTCAAGTTTGTTGAGTAGAGACCAAATATGGTAAATGAGGGCTATGTTGGATTTTGGTGTCTACCTGTGGTGTTTGCCCTTTGTTGTGGGGGCGGAGGTCTTTTTTGTCAGTTTCATCCTTGTTGCAGGCGCATTATATGTTTGTGACTTGTTGGAATGGTAGAAATAAGATAAATATTTACGATGTTCAACTTGAGCTTTATTTGGTTTGTTTTGGGGGGTAAATTTACATTGAAGAAAAAGAGTCCACCACTTTGATTGAATAAAAAATAGTGTTATACGAGAGTTTGATTTTATTATGCCTATTTAGATGTGTTTGAATTGATTATTTAATTTGTTTGCTTGCGAATAAAACACGAGTGTTACTATTTCTCAACAGACTTAAGACTGCTTTAATCAATATTATTTTGTGTTTTTTATTGAGTTCATATTTTTTTAGGCTATTGTTTGATTTTAAATGGCATCCTTGTCAATGACAAGCCGCAAGGGTACACCTCTAAATGTTCACTAAAGAACGTTTCAATAGGTGGCAAGAAATCATGTCAATCTAGCCAATGTTAAGCATGAGGTGTAACAACATGTAGGCTCGTGCCCTTCTTACACTTCACAAATTTCTTTCACATTCACAAGATTCGAACATATGGCCTCTCTTTAAGAGAGATTTAAGTTGAATTCTGGTACCAATTGGACGTGAGGATTCCTCTGCATTTTGTTATGCAAAATGCATAGCTAGTAAAACAATAATGGTGTGGTTGGCCTTGCCTTCTAGTCTTATACTCATGGCATGCTCAACTTCTCTAGCTATCTTTGCCTTTTGGTCTTTTTGGCATGAACCCAGTCTTATGCTTCTCTGCACAGGTTCTATTGGTAATTCTTTGCACAACTTATTCCTTTTGAGCTAGACTTCCTAAGCTGAGGCCTTTAACTTGGCTTGCTGACTCTCTTGTTTCTTGTTTTTCCTTACCATTTCTTAGTGTAACACAACATATCTTGAACTTGATTTTTGAGATGTGCTGTTTGATTGTGTTTGTGAGTTCTTTTAGGTTTATACATACGATACGATGTAGTTGTCTAATCTTATACATTACCATCTGTAGCATAAAATTAAAACTACAAGACGTGCTAGGCATACTATATAAACTGCCAAAAAGTACATTAGAACAATATAATAGTAGATTAGGTTGTCTCTTTTTTAAGCCGACCTTTGCTACTAGATTATAGGTTTTCTTCTCTCTTGAACTGCTCAGCCTTTCTTTGCCTTTTCCCAGTATTCGAATTCTAAGATGAAACTGAATTGGGCCACAAAGAATCTTTCATTGTAGAGGACTTGGTGTTTCTAGCGCTACTTGAACTGTTCTAGTCCCAACAGTTCTGCCTAAATCAACAAACTCTGCATGGCAGATCTAAAAGACTCCAGTACTGTATCAGTTTCTTTATCCTCTCTGTTCATCAACTGCCTTCTTCCTTCCTCCGTTGCTAGCTCAGCCAACGGAGGAGCTGCCACATTTTCATGAATGCTCACAAACTCGTTTGTCAATAATCTCTCATCCATATTTGTCTCATGCTTCAAACATTCAATTATTTGGCTTTGGTCCTTGGATAATCACTCGCTGAGCTTGTCACCAAGTGAAGCATTAACCCTCGTCCAAATCGGAGATCCAAAAGAGGGTGTTACGCCTCGATTGATCGAGACCGAAGTAATATAGGATCGAGGCGTTGTTGGATTTTATGTGCAATAATAAAGAGATGAAAAAGAAAAATCAACACAAGAATTTACGTAGTTCAATGATGTGCCTACGTCTACGAGAGTGAAGTGGAGATAATTTTATTCAGTAGTAAAAATAGGGTTATAATATATTATTTATACTAACCCTAGTCTGAGCCCATATAAGACTTTAAGGTCTACATAAGAAATACCCCTGTACCGTACTGTGGGGGTGTAGCTCCCTAACCACCAGACAGTGAATTAAACCCTTTATGCCTTGGCTAGCCGAAGCAGCTGAGGCATTCAAGACTCAATCGAAGTGATATAGGATCGAGGCGTCATGTTACGCCTCTGCTAGCCAAAGCAGCACGAAGTGATACAGAACTAAGGGTCACTTTCGAAGTGCATTCCTGTACGAAACGGTGCCCTTTGCCTATAAATACTAATGTCTCGGCCAAAGGAAGGTAAGCATTCCACATTTAAGCAAGATATACTTTCTCTTCCCCCTTGAGTATTGTGCATTTCAGCACTGTCGTCGCCGCCGCCACCATCGACTGACTTGATCGTCTGAGTCTATGCGGTAGCCACCAACACCGCTAGTACTGGCCGTATATGCCTGACTGTTTGTTACCGTGTGCAGAGAGGATCACGTGGAGTAGCTTTCTGTTGGCCACATGAAGGGTTCGATTTTTGCGGGGTCAACAAAGGGCTTTCTCCACCGGGCTAAACCAAGTTGGCAAGAACACTAGAAACGTATCTGTTAGCCATTAGTGCATTTTCTATGAAGTATATGAATGAGGTCTCTGATTGCATCCTGATCACATGATTCTTGGTAAGTTTCTTGTGTCCTTAACAAGTCGCCAGCTAATTAGTATTTCAGATAACCCAACGAGCTAATATTCTTACTAGTTCCACTGTATCTTGGGGCCATCTAGGTTTTTAGACTTGAGCAATTTGAGGTCCTTAAAATAAAATTTCTGAATGACTCGACAATTATAAAAGAACATTTTTGTAGACACAGCAAATGATATCTATGTTTAACTAAACACAAGGTCTCACTTGGCTAGGAGGTCTAGGCTTTGAGAGTTGCCAACATAGAAAACGAGAGAATGGATAAGAGAATGAGATAGATAGTGCATAGTCATAATTACTATTAATATTTGAAAGAAATTGTTTAATTTATATCTGTTTTTTTTAGCTTTGCTGCAAAGTGTTTTCTAGTTGCTTCGTGGCCACTGCATGCGTTGCAAGTAGACAAGGAAAGGGCCATGGGAAGCAGTCTATGATCAGAGAT